GACTTCTTGGGGATGAGACTCGCGCTTTCTTCCCAAACCCCTTTCCCACACCCCGTTGCGAGCGCGCGACGATTTGTCCTGGCCCGCGGGCAGAGGACTGCCAGTTACTGGTGAGCGGCCTTTCCACCCGTCACGCGTTCCGAACACATGCGACCAGCTAAACGCACATGCCACGCAAACCGCCAGCTCCAAACACCGACGCCACCCCGATCCCCGCATCCGTGCCAAGCACCCTCTCAACGACACCCCCTTCCGGCGTAAAACCAATAAAACCCTTTGTGTTTATGTGTTTTTTCCTGTTCTGACCTAAGAGAGCTCAGAGCCCCGCAACGGCCGAGGAGGGCCCCAAGAGGGCCTCAGGGCCCCCCAGACGGCCCAGAGAGGCCCACGAGGGCCCCAAGAGTGGCCAAAGAGGTAGAATACGAACTGATATTGCGAGCAGTTCCCCCCATGATGGCCCCAAGAGCCCCCCGGATGGTCCCAAGAGCCCCCCGGAGGCCCCCGGGGCGCCCCCTCCCAAGAATCTAAAAAAACACAGATGCCACAAAGAGCCCTCCGAGATGCACCTGAAACGCATCCTATGAGCCCATCAAATATCCTCACATGCGTCCAAGAGGCTCCCGACCCACCAAATGCGCCGGTCCAGCGGGCCAGAGGCGTGCCAAGATCTCTGGCAACAGCTGTAACAGATTTCTAGTTCGCGCGCGCGTGCAGCCCCTAGGGGACGCTGATGAACAATACTCTGGCCGATCTCCGGCACGGTCCGATTAGATATGCTTCTGCTCCTGGGCGCCGCCCTCGGGGCTCGCCTAAGGCCAAGAGGCTCCAAAGAAGCCCCGAAGAAATTCCAAGATGTCTCCGAGACATGACAAGACCGCTCCACGACGCACTAGATGGCTCCAACACAGCCAAGAGGCCTCCAAGACGCCCCAAGAAATCTTCCAGAGCACCCCCAACAGCACCCCAAGAGGTGCAGATCATACATTTTCCCTGGCTGTTGAAAGATTTTGGCGCTCTTGCCATATCGTCTTCAAGACGGCCAAAGACGGCCCAAGAGGCCCCCAAGATGGCCCCAAATAGCTCGACAGGCCTCATAGGAGGCCTGAAGACGGCTCAAGAGAGCTCTAACACGGCCCAACAAGCCTCAAAAACAGGTCAGAAAGGGAGGGCGCGCCGCTGGATGTCCCCAAAAGGGGGGGGGGAACCCCTCCCCCCCCCGTTCCCCGGTCCGTCGTCGGGACCCCCCCCTCTTTCCCAGGTCCGTCGTCGGGGACCCCCCGCCACCCCCCCTTCCCGGTCCGTCGTTGGGAAGCCCCCCCCCCGCTCCCCCCCGCCCCTTTCAAAAGGGAGGGGGGGGTCCGAACCCCCCCCACCCCCGCTTGGGCTCGAAATTCGAACACCCCCCCCCCGGTCGCACGCCGCCCTCTGACTCCAGAGCCCGCCCCCCGACCACCCCTAACCCGAATCCTCACCCGAACCCAAGACCCTAAACCCAAACCCCCTTACCCGAACCCCAAACAGTACTCGATATTCACTACTCACTACCCACTACCCACTACTAACTACTCACTGCTTCCTACTCACTACTCGCTACACGCTACTCACTACTCTCTCTCTATATATATATACACATACCACTGCTCACTATTCACTACTCACGACTTACTAAACACTCTACTCACTACTCACTACTCCCTACTCGCTACTGACTACTCACTACTCATTACCCAATACTCACTACCCTTTTCCTGCTACTCCCTACACAGTAATACTCACTACTCACTACCGGCTACTCCCTACTCGGTACTCGATACTCAATACTCATTACTCACGACTCCCTACTCATCAATCACTACTCACTACTCACTACTCCCTACAAACTACACACGACGAACGACTCAATACTATTACCGGCTACTCACTACTCACTACTCCCCGTTCACTAGTAACTAGTCTCTACTCACTACTAACTACTCACTACTCACCCCTCACTACTCACTACTCGCGACTCACTACTCGCTACTGACCACTCAATACTCACCTCCCACTACTTGCTACCCAGTTGTCAAGTCTCATTACGCACTACCCCCTACTCCCTACTCACTACTGCATACTCGCTACTCACTACTCGCTACTCCCTACTTGCTACTGCCTACTCGCTACTCACTGCTGCCTACTCCCTCCTCGCTACTCACTACTCACTACCCACAACTCGCTTCTCACTACTCTCTACTCGCTACTCACCTCTCACTACCCAGTACCCACCCACTACCCACTACCCACTACTCCCTACTCGCTACTCACTACCCAATACTCGCTGTCCTCTACTCACTACTCACTACTTCCTACTCATTACTCTCTACACACTACTCACTACTCATTACTCAGTTGTTTCTACTCACTATTCACTACTCACTACGCACTACCCACTACTCACCACGGACTACTCACTACCCAATATTCACTACCCACTACTTATTACTCGTTTCTCACTACCCACTACTCATGACTCTCTATTCACTACGCACTAACCACTACTCACTACTCACCACCGACTACTCACTACCAACTACTCACTACCCACTACTCCCAACTCCTTGCTTCGTACTCACTACTCATTACTCACTACACACCTTCTCTGGCGCAGGAGCAGCGGGAGAGGCCCCCTCCCCGGCTCTCTCTCTCTCTCTCTCTCTCTCTCTCTCTCTCCGGCGCAAAGGGGGGGGAGGGGGGGGTCCGACCCCCTCCCTTTTCCAGCGCCAAGAGGGGGGGGGGCGGGGTCGGACCCCCCCCCTTAAAGGGAGGGGGAGGGCGAGGTTCAGAACCCCCTCCATCCCCCTTCAAGGGGGAGAGGGGGGGGGGGGGCGAAAATCTCACCGCCCCTTTGATGGGGGGGAGGGGGCGGGAGGTTCTGCGAGCACCCCTCCCTTTTCAATTACAGGGCTTCCAGTGGGGCACTGTCTCCAAAAGCCCCCGAGAGGCGCGCGCCCCCAGGAGGCCCCAAGAAGTTTGCAACAGGCCCCCCGACAGCCCCCGAGGAATCCCAAACATCTCCGAGAGGCAGCGAAGATGCCTCAAGGGAGCCCCAAGAGGCCCCCAAAATGCTCCCAGGACGCTCCCAAGAGGACCCCAGACCTGCTCCCCAGGTCCCCCCGATAGCCCTCCGAGGAGACCCCAGGAAGCCTCCACGAGGACTCTGACCCGGAACCCAGGCACGGTGGCAGGGTCGGCCGAAGGTCTCCCTACGAAGGCCTCTCGTCCATGTTTTTGTCGCGCACCACGCTCCGAACAGATCAGCCTGGATCCCTGCACGCGTATATACACTGGACTCAGCACGATGATCCAAACAACGAGAGGTCGATCGGAAAGATGGGAGCTGGAATCGGAGAATGGACAGAGGACGATGAGGAGGATGAGGAGGACCAGTGCACCCCTACGACTCATCAACGAGGTTGGAACAAACACTTCCTCCAAACCCCGTCTTCATAGGCCCTACAACATTTCATTTCAACTGATGGACGTACCCCGTTGGAAGACAACCGTTTGAACATCCTGAAGCGTACCAAACTAATGTTCTCGGGACCCCGGCGCGACGAATCAGCCTGAGTGTTGCGTCTTGGCGATCCTGAATCATGCCAGAACACCATTCCTGGAACTTCAACGCCGCGAATCAAATAGATGCTGTGCCCTGACGACCCTGAACTGTTCCAAGAAACCATTTCCCATATGCAAACAATGGGATTCCGCGGAGCTCTTGCAAATATTGAAAGCCGAAAAAGCGCGGGGCTGAAATGTTCAGAGCTTGTTAGAAAAGAGCCACCCTCAACTCGTGCAACTATTGCAATTGCTAAAATCGCATGTGCGCGGCACTAGGGCGTGAAGCACATTTTGAAGACGACCCGCCCTCATTCCGTCAAACTCTTGCACATGTTTCATACTAGTGCGCGTGGCGCAATGCGAGAGCCACAGTGTGAAAACCAGCCGCCCTCCATCTGTGAAACTGTGGTCACTTGTTAAGCCTCAGGACCATAAACGGCAAGAACGTCTGAAATGAAACGCGCAGGCCTCCCTTACGACTGGACTCGAGGTGCGACAGGGAGGAGTTACTTACAAGGAACAAGAGTGGAGGAGGACGAGGAAGAGGAAGAAGAGGAGGAGGACGAGGAGAAGGCGGAACAGGAGAAGGAGGAGGGAGAGGGGGAAGCAGGGCAGGAGGAGGAGCAGCAGCAGCAGCAGGAGAACAATCTGCCGCCTCCAGCCTTTGGAAATCCGCCACCGCCCCCGCAGCGCCGCCGGGAGCAACGAACACGCGGGCAACTGCCAGCGATGCAGCATCATGGTGCCGGCGGAGTGAGCGAAACGACTCCATAAACTCAACGGTCGCAGCGAGCCCTCGCTCCTGCTGGAGGTCGTCGGGAAGGCGTGAGCCACTTATCAACTTGCCAGAGTCTAAGAAGACACCCGAGGATGAGGAGGAAAATGATGATGATGATGATGATGATGATGATGATGATGATGATGCTGCTGCTGCTGCTGCTGATGATGATGATGATAATGATAATGATGATGATGATGATGATGATGATGATGATGATGATGATGATGATGATGATGATGATGATGATGATGATGATGATGATGATGATGATGATGATGATGATGATGATGATGAGAGGAGGAGGAGGAGGAGGAGGAGGAGGAGGAGGAGGAGGAGGAGGAGGAGGAGGAGGAGGAGGGCAAAGGAGGAGGAGGAGGATGAGGAGGAACCTACTCGCCTGACGGTCCTGGAGCCCGGAGCAGGCCCCTCCGTGGCCGCGAACTGCCAGCAAGTTCCCGCGGTGCTTTCTCTGTGGCGCGCGGATGCCGTGGGGCTTGCGGAACCGATGATGGGCCGACTTTCCACCACCAGTACCACAAGGATGACCTCCCCATCCTCCCTTCTTCCCCGTCCTACATCTGGTAGTGGTGGTGGAAAACTGGCCCATCAACCGAGGGCGCGCCTCGTTGATGGGGCTGGGCAGGAAGGCCGCGAAACACCGCCTCGAGACGTCGCGGAGCTTGACCTCCCACCGCACGTCGGGCGAAACCAGCTCGCTGGTGCCGCGGGCGGGTGGCAGCCGCCGGGGGGGCCACGGGGGCGCCCAGGAGGAGCAACCCAAAGCCGTGACCGTTGTCGTCGTCGTCTGGACCCAGGCGAGGAGGGGGAGGAGGAGGAGGAGGAACAGCAAAAGGAGGGGAAAATAAGAGGGAGGAGGGTGGGACGGAGGGGGATGAGGCGGAGGCGGATGATGGGGGAGGACGCGGGGGAGGGGGAGGAGGCATTCTCTCCTCCCGAAGGGGGGATGAGCGAGGAACGAAGGGAAGGGAAGGGAATTAGATCTGTGTGCTAACATGTTGGGCCAAGTGTCAGAGGAGTGTCAAAGGTGCCCCAGAAGTACCTGGAGCATGACATTGATGTCTCCGGGAGGCCAGGAGGGAACAGGGGCCGGGAGGTTGCAGGACGGGGGGGATGGGAGGAGGCAGGGGCGACGGAGGGAAGCGGCTCGAGGGAAAGACTGCGAGGAGGGGAGAGGACGGGCCGCCCAAGAAGAAGGAGAACAGCGGCCAAACCCTCCATGAGGACGCCGTTTTCTCCCGGGCCCGCCGGCGTGCAGGGGCCCTCGGCCGTGCCCCCCCGCCCCCCCCCCCCCGGGGCGGCAACCCGACCGCGGCGGCTGGTGAGTTTCAGGCCCTTCTCCTCCTGGGACAGCTCCCACGCCCCGTCCTTGCCGACCTGAAGGGGCAGGGGGGAAGCGGGGGGGGGGTCGGTCGGAGACGGCGGCGGCCCTTCCCCCCCTCCGAACGGTTCCTTCCGGTTCATCCTCCTGCCCTTCCCCCCACCTTAGTCGCAATTTTGGCTCCAGATGATGGAAAAGTGGATACCTCGAGTCGAGGCAGTGCCAGGGCGCTTGCGCCCGACATCTTTCTCCAGCCAACACCCAAGGGGCTTACTGTCGGCCCATCTCGGGGACTAATCCCCAGCCTCTGCGATCTGGTCACACCGTGTGAATGGCGCCGTATGGTTCTCGATTGGTTCCGAAGCCGCCGTGGATTAAGTCGCAGTGGTATCAGTACTACGACGGATATCCACCACTGCCTGGGAATAAGTGGGCAGGGGTGGAGTGGCTACAATCCTTGCTGGTCCAAGGGCAAGCGCAGCCGGCCGTTGGCGGAGTGCCGCTCGCGCGGCAAGTGGCCCTTCCAAGATCGGCCCAGAGCGAAGCAATGGACGTGTGAAAGCGGTGCTGGGTTTCATGCGGGCGATCATCTTGATGGCCCTTCTGCTGCAGACGATGCTCCTCAGACGCAAAACCAACAGATGCGTGCCCGCCTCTCGCCGCTAGGTCGGCAGCAGATGCGGCAGCGGACGTTGGTACCAAGAAGGCTGCCGAGAGCCTCGGGCTCGCCGTGCAAGGGTTTCCCTGTGGCAGCCAAGCCTGAGCCACCAGGACAAGACTTGCACCAGGCCACGGCTCGGCTCCAGCGTGGACGTCAGGCCTTGGAAAAGGGGGCTGAGGAGCAGTGGGAGCGCAAATAGCAGGAGCTTGAACGCTGTGAGGCGAAGCTTCGCGAGTGACCAGAAGAAGTCGTGGCAACAGAAGGACGACATCGAGAAGGCCAAAATATTCCTGCCGCAAGTCGAGCAGCCTACGGCATACGGCCAGATAAGCGGTATCGGACATTCAGGAGGTGCTCGACTGCAAGCTGGACCTTGAGGTCTCGCTGGGCATGAACATCCCAGAACTGTGTCTCGAGGAGTGCGATCACGACATATTCCAGACAGTGAAGGCAAAGCTGGAGGCCACGCTCCAGCGGGCAGTGCGGGAGAGCTACGGGGCCGTCAATGTCCAGCTCCAGGAGCACAAGGCACAGGTCGCAGATGTCATGGAGAGAGCGCGTAAATGGAAGAGCATTGACGGAGACGACAGCGTGCAAAGGCGCGGCGACGAGTGCTGCTGGTGGAGGCCAGCCTGCAGCAAAACAGGCTAGGAGGTAAGACTCTTCATAACAGGCTCAGGCATAGGGCTGTCTTCGTTGGAGATATGCGTACTTGGGGAGAGCCCGCCCCTTATTCTTGCCAGCGCATGAAAGCCAGAGGCAAAGACTGGTTTGCTAAGTGAAAATGAAATCTGGGCACCTCTGGAAATGTCTATACCCTGTGTGGAGGAAACGCAAGGTCTCGCCAAACAACAAGAGCCCAGGGAAATCACGGGTTCTGTCATCAGTGGGCTTCTCTCGGCTTTGCCAAACCACGCTCCTGGAGTAGACCCGATGTCCAAGTGAGATATCCTCTGGCTGCGCAGGGCGGGATTGCAAGAGCTGGCGAGCCATCTAATTGAGGTTGAAGCCCATTCGTTGCTGCTGGCCCTGGCGGGATTTCGTCACGCTGGTCACCAATCAGGTCAAGGATGTAGATCCCGATAGAGCGAGCGGTCGGCCTCCTGGCTTGGCTGGTCAGCTTCTGTCGAAAAGTCGAAAAATCGGATCGGGACTCCTGGACTCGGGGCACATGGGTCCTGGGACACGGCCATTGCGGGCTCGTCGGCGCTACCGATTGCGCTTCTTCAGCGTTTTCGGGGTGAGAAGGCAGCGAAATTTAGCTGTCCTGACTTTCAGAGCGGCAGCTTGCTCTGGGATGTGGAAGGCTTCTAAATGGTTTCTACGGCAGCCGCACATGTAATTCAATTTTAGGAGGGAGCGTGATCCACCGCCGCTTTACTGTGGAAAATTGCCCCCCTCTTCCTCCGGAACCCGCCCCCCCCCTCCGAAAATCCCCCCTCTCCTGCTGGACCCCCCCCTCCCCTCCCCCGGCAAAACCCCCCCCCCTTCCCCCCCCTCCCCCCCCCTCCCTCGAAAAGGGGGGGGTCACTACCGGTTCGAACCCCCCCCCCCACGAAAACCGGAGGGGGGGTCACTACCGGTTCGAACCCCTCCCCCCCCCCCCTCACCGCCAGCAAACGACTCCCGGTCCCTACCACCGTCCGCACCACATCCCCCACTGTTGTTCCCAGCACCACTGTCCTCACCACCACTGTCCCCACTGGTTCCACCACCGTCCCTACTGTCCCCACCAGTGCCCCCACCACTGTCGCACTGTCCCCACTGTCCCCACCACTGTTCCCACCACGGTTCCACTCTCCCCACTTTCTCCACGTCCCCAACCACTGCCCGACGATCCCCACTGTCCCCACTGTCCCACTGACTCCTCCGCTGTCCCACTGAGTTGTCCCACTGTTCCCACCACTGTCCCCACTGTCCCCGCCACTGTCCCCACTGCACCTCTGTCCCATTGTCCCACCGCCGTCCTCGCCACCGCCTTCACCACTGTCCCCACCACCACTGTACCCTCCACTGTCCCACTGTTTCCACCTCATTCCCACTGTCCCCACACCGCTGTCCCCACCACCACCGTCCCCACCACTGTCCACTGTCCCCACTGTTCCCACCATTGTCCTCACCACTGTCCCCACCACTACAATCCTCACCACTGTCCCACTGTCCCCACCACTGTCCCACTGTCCCCTCACCACTGTCCCCACCACCACCGTCCCCACCACTGTCCGCACCCCCCTTGGTTTTCGAAAGGGGGGGGGGGGGTCGAAGCGGTAGTGACCCCCTCTCCGTTTTCGAGGAGGGGGGGGGGGTTCGAACCGGTAATGACCCCCCCCCTTTTCATGATGAACGGGGGGGGGAGGGGTTCGAACCGGCATGGACCCCCTCGGGTTTTCCGGAGGGGGGGGGAGGGGTTAGAACCGTGATCCCCCCCGGTTTTCCGCCAGCAGCGGTAGAACACGCTCTTTCAATTATAGGGAAGGCCCTAGATCTGGGCTTCCCCAGTGCCATCTTGCGTTAGAGCTCCAAACGCACATGGCTGTGCGGTTCCTTCCTGGCAATGCAGGACGCTTTCCGCCGGTTGATCCAGAACTGCCTCTCATTCCTGGCAATAGTGGTGCCGCCGATCTTGGACGGGCAACGTTGCATCATGTGTGCGCGGATCTTGTCACGCGCCCCCCTGGTGAACCAGTCTTGCGCACGTGGGTTGACGACATTGTGTAAAGCATGCATGGCACGAGTGCGCATGTGTTTCGCCAGCTGTCAGGGGCAGGCCTCAAGCTTGTCTGGAACCTTGAGGCCGCTCATGTGGCTATGGGGAGCAAGTCTTGCGGCATCTGTTCAAATATGGCAGTAGCTCAGCACCTGCAGCAGTTTGTTCGCAACAAATCGGTCGAGATTCAGGTCAAGCTTGTCGCGTCGAATCTCGGAATCGATCGTGGCACGGTCCGAGCGGCTAGACCGAAGCAGGCTACACGTAGGAAAGCGGCCTCGAAGCGTCTCGCCAAGTTGCAGACGCTAGCCAAGGGTAACAACCATTGCAAACAATTGGCCAAGATGATGGCCATGATTACAGGGCTCGCGAAATCTAAGTACTCGGAAAAAGGCCCATGCCCCATGCCGCTGCCTCAGCGCGACATGGGGAGCAATGCCATGGCATGGCACTGCTACCCATGTCGCGTTGAGGTGGCGGGGTGCGTTGGGTCGTCTGCTGGGGGGGATCGCTAAGGGGGGCAGATCCCTGACCACTCTGCTTGTTCTCGAGTACGCTCGTCTGAAGCCTGCTTTCCTGGCCCTGTCTGGTACCGTAGAAGCACAGTTTTTGCTGAATCACTGATAAATACTTCCATGCCGAACGTGTTCAAGGGGTTCGGAGGAAGGTGCTGCAGCGCTCAAGGGATAAACCAACCAGGGATCGTTGGGGAGGAATTGACACTCCGACATTCCTGAACTTCGGCTGGGAACCTTGGGGGCCTTGGGCGTGCGAGGGTGACATGGGGGAGATGTGCGACCTCGGAAGACAAAGTCGGCCGAGGCAAGGTCGACTTGGCTGAGATTAGGGAAGCACTTGCAGCGACCCTAGAGAGGCAACTATGGGCTAATACGAAGCAACATTCCTGAAACGGTCAGGGGGTGAGGCAAGTCCCAGATCTGCTTGATGGCAGACCCTCAGAAAGCTTTTGCCACGGGAAAAATGGGACCAAGAGCCAACATGTTGACTGTGGCCCCTCCCAAGACAACGAGCGCAAGAGATGCGGAGCTGTGTCTGCGTCGGACCTGTAAAGAGCTTGGGACTGTCCCGAGACTGCGAAGTTCAGTCAGGTCTCTGACCTTGTCGTGCGTAGAGCACTTGCAGATGCTAAGAGCAATCCAAATGTTTGGATCCAAGGGCTGACGCCGATGTCTTGGACCGCCGTTTCCCGATGGAGCTGACTGTCGCAGACTTGGTGGCGAACTTTCTGGCGCGGTTGTCAACGATTCTGCTTTTTCGGGGGTGGGGGCGCTAATGGAAACCAAGACGCCCAAGGTCCTGTTTTGCACCGTGTTCCCTGGGCCTGGGCTGTCTTGACGGGCCTGCGAAGAGACAGGTCCTATAGCATGGCGGACCTGCAAGACCATGCTGCAGGTGTTGGCAATATCCGAAGCCCCAGGCAGTCTGTCAACAGGGGGTAGGCCATGTGTGTTCGCGGAGTTTTTGAAGGCTGGCCTCCCCGTTGCAAGCGCATATTTCGTCGTTCAACGTATGTTGTCAATATTGGGAGACCCAAACAAATCCAGGTGATGAGATATCAAAAGATGACTAAGAATCCCCCGAACGTCACCGCCGGGCTTAGTGACTCCTGGACCCACCAACATTCGGGACATCCTTGAAAAAACACGCGCGTCCCCAAACCGGGTGGT